TCTGAGATCTTTCTTTTCTTGCTCTTGGTCACGGAGTAGGAGCCTCGGCTTGTGGTGAGTGAATTGGTCCCCCGCTTCCTGGATGAGCTTGCCTGAGCTGTGTTCCACTCGCTGGTCCCTCCTGAGCCTGTTATGAATTTACCAGCTGAGTCACTTGATTGGGGCCTCCCTGATCAGCATAACGGGTCAGGGGAAGGTCTCAGTCTGTGAGTGCTGGTTGTGTGTCTAAACCGGGAGTGATCTCCATTCTATAGGGCCCTCAGGGGAAAGCTGATACCCTGTGCAACACAGGACCATTGGGTGGTGGCTGTGTGGTGTGAAGACCACCAGCAGCCAGGTAACATGCTCAGGTCCATACTTAAGAAGAGATGGCTCATTGGGCCCCTCCGAGGCCTAAGGCCTTTGCAGTTGCCGCTGCCACCCAAGCCTGTGCTATTTCAAGATTCTAATTCTCAGCATAAGTAAAAATGTGCAAGGTGTCTGGTGGCACCAATACTTAGAAAAAAATGGCCCTAAATGTTTTCCACTGGGCCCTCCTCAAGGGCAGAGGGCACATGGGCAGGAAATGACTCAGCAGGACTGGGTTGCTCAAACCCCACACATTCCTAAGGCAGGCCTGCTTTTAAGTCACCTTTGAGCTTCTGGATTGTTCTACTGGCAAGAACGTTTTTGTGCCTGAGGCCTGTGCAGATTTGAATCTGTATCCTTTCAGGGTAATAGACTGTACCTGTTTCTGAGTCCCGTGAGTCCTAGTGAATCATCAAGCCTGAGGTGGTTTGGGGACCCTGATGCACTATAAGGTGATGGGGATCACTACAAGCCAGACCAGTGGTGACTATGGGTCCTCTGCCGTGCTGCTGCAGATAAACATGCTAAAGGAAGCGTTAGATGGGCCATGTACAGAAACCCAGGTNTAAGCCAGACCAGTGTAACTATGGGTCCTCTGCCGTGCTGCTGCAGATAAACATGCTAAAGGAAGCGNCAAGCCAGACCAGTGGTGACTATGGGTCCTCTGCCGTGCTGCTGCAGATAAACATGCTAAAGGAAGCGTTAGATGGGCCATGTACAGAAACCCAGGTGCAGAAACTCACCAGGGCAGGAAGCCCCTGATGCCTAGCAAGGGGCAGAACTGGGAACACAGCCCTGGCCAGTTTGGCTCAGTGGTTAGAGCATCAGCCCATAGACTGAAGCGTCCTGGGTTTGATTCCGGCCAAGGGCGCCTACCCTGGTTGCAGGCTCATCCCCCGCCCTGGATATGCGTGGGAGGCAGCCAATCGATGTGTCTCTCTCACATGGATGTTTCTCTCTCTCTCTGAAAAGCAATGGAAAAAATATCCTCCAGTGAGGATTAAAAAACAACAAACAGACAAAAAAACTGGAAAAACAAGAACTTTGTCCCCAGGGTAACCTTTCCTCCCCCCACATATTGCTGGTCATGCTAGCAGTTTAGACCCCCTACACATTTCTTCCCTAAAGATAACATTTAGGTCTCAGTTTTGTTTCAGCTGCAGGCCCAGAAAAGCAGCAAAACTAGACAAGCGGCACCATGGCTGCCTCAGGACCAGCTCCACTGACTAATGACCCCCTGCCCGGCACCGACCCCCCCCCATCAGTGGAGACTATGATCCTGAAAGAGCGCACCTGGAGAGCTCATGAATATCCTATTGAGACCCTCCCCTGAGACCTCCCCTAAGATCTCCACCTGCAAGAAAGAGCTAAATATGCTCAGCTGGTGTGGCTCAGCAGTTGAGCGTCGACCTAGGATCCAGGAGATCAAGGTTTGATTCCTGGTCGGGGCACATGCCCAGGGCTATGGGCTCGGTCCCCAGCAGGGGACAAGCAGGAGGCAGCCAATCAATGACTCTCTCATCATTGATATTTTTCTCTCTCTCTCTCCCTCTCCCTTCCTCTCTCTCTGAAATCAATAAAAATATATTTTTTAAAAAAGAGAGAGAAACATGCTCAGGCAAGACCCAGAGCCATCTCCTCCCCCCTTCTTCCCTCCGAGGGGACCCCACGAGTCTTGCAACCAGGGGAGCAGTGGGCAGCAGCAGCCCGTCCTGGGCTCGCCCCCTGAGGCCCCCTCCTCTCTCCGAGTTCCTAGCGAGCCAAAGCAGCCTGGCCTCGGCTCTCCTGTTGCTGCATCTGTGCTCTTCCTGGTCTCACTGTCCCAAGTATACTTTTGCTGCCATCATGGATTCAGTGCTGTGTAGCCCTTCCCTTTAGTATCCCCCCCATTCCCTTTCCTTAAATAAATTCAATTTTCCTTTATTCACCATCTGAGATGGTATCTAGCCTGCCCACGCACCACCAACCTGAACCTTTCAGACAGGAAAAACTCGTTCGGGAGCAAGTATCATAGGAAGAGAGGAAGAGTGACAGGCCCTGTATGTTACTGGTCAAAGTGGAAATTGCTTATTGTACTGATTACAAGAGCAGTAAGTATCTGTCGTTTCCATGATTCAGAGATGAAGTCAGTCCTAACCCATCATCTAGAAAGCAACAGCATCTAGTGCATTTCCTCGCGGGTGCCCCATATAAGGGGATCCTCCCGGCCACCATGCCATGTTCTGGGGGAGGCCTCCCACCTCATTTATTTTATTTTTTGAGTAAGCAGGAGGACAATCCTATTGATGAAGCCCCACGTCTAAGGAGTTGGCTTCACCCTTCCGCCTGGGTACAGTCACAGGTGATTTATTTTCAGGCCAAGCCAGGGTGAAATCTTGGGTTCACTGTTGGGCAGTTCTGCTTTTTGCACCCCAAGCTCTAGGAAAGACAGTCCACACGAGTAAACAATGCACCATTGCTAAATGGGGTTTATTCCAATAATACAAAGATGATAGGTTAGAAAATCTCTTTATAAATCCAACTGTATCTCCACAACAAGGAAGGAAACCCATATAATCATTTCTGAGGTATGCCAAGAAAGTTTGGTCAAATTCAGCATCGAATCCTGATTTTTCAAAGTCTTAGCAGCCCTGGCCGGGTAGCTCAGTTGGTTAGAGCATCATCCTGATATGCCAAGGTTGCGGGTTCGATCCCTAGTCAGGGCATATATAAGAATCAACCAACGAATGCATAAGTAAGTGGAACAACAAATCGATATTTCTCTCTCCCTCCCCCTCTTCCTCTCTCTAAAATCAGTAAGTAAGCCCTGGCTGGTGCGGCTCAGTTAGTTGGGCAGCATCCCGGGCACCGGGGCTGGTTCGATCTCCAGTCAGGGCCCATGCCCAGGGTTTTCGGCTTGACCCCAGCCGGGGGCGTGCAGGAGGCAGCTGATTGATGTTCCGCTCTCATAATGATGCCTCTCTCCCTCTCCCTTCCTCTCTCTCTAAAAAAATCTTAATAAATTTTTAAAAAGTCTTAGCAAACTAGGCCTATACAGATAATTCATCAATGTGATAGACAAGCAGTCATGGCCAAGGGCTGGTATTTTCCTAAGAGTGGAATACTAGCCGTCTCCCTTCAAGTCAGAAGAAAGGCCCGATGCTGTACCAGTGAGGAGCGAAACAACTGTGAGGAGTGACAAATGGACTGAAGCTGTTTGTTTTCTTACAGAGCAAGAACTCAGGGAGTCGAATGTCGGTGGCTGAAACAGCTGCTCAAAAATTTCATCCAAGGCCTAGGGTCCTAATATTTTTCCATTCCACTGTGTGTGGCTTTTGTTCCCAATTGTCTCATGGTTGCAAGATGGCTATGACACCCCTGGGCACTGCATCCGAGTTCCAGCCGGGAAGAAGGGAGGGAGGAAGGAACAACATTCCTATTAGGAAAGCAAAGACTTTTTAAAAATCTCTGGCAGGTCTGCACTTGAGCTTCATGGGTCAGAACTGAGCCGCATGCCCATCTCTGCTACAACTGAGTCTTAGAGGCCGAAGTGTTCTGAGATGGACACGCATCTGCCACAGATGACCACTGCCAACAACACTGAGTGATGCTCTGAAGTGCTGGCCAATATGAGTGGGGTTTTTTTCTTAAAGGTTTTATTTTAAAAAATGATTTTAAAGAGAGAGACAAAGAAACACCATTTGTTGTGCCATTTACTTATGCATTTTTGGCTGATTCCTGTATGTGCCCTGACCGGGGATCGAACCTGCAACCTTGGTGTATCAGGATGACACTCTAACCTACTGAGCTACCGAGCCAGGGCCCAATGTGGGTTTTAAAAAGAAATTAAATAAAAGGCTATCTATATGGAAAGGAGAGGCAAGCTTTTTATTTCCAACTGATATGACTGTTTACCTAGAAAACCCAATAAACTAAGAAGCTGTGAGAGACCTTATAATAACTCAGTATAGTTGATAGGTATAAAACAAATCACAAGAAGATATATATACAATCCACAGTGGTCCTATATATCTTATAACAGAAAAATCCAATTTACAAAACCCACGAAATCAGAATGAACTAAAGAATAAATGTAAGAACATTTATGAAAAAAACTATAAAAGTTTCCTGATGATTAGAGGTAGGTTTGAATGAACAGTTATCTACCACATTCTTGGATGCGAAGATTTAATATAACATGGAACTTAATTTTTCACAAACTAATAAAAATCCCTATGAGATATGCAGGGGAATGAAGAAGTTAAGTTCTGGAAAAATGATTCCTGGTCCACCTGGAAGAACAGATAAAACAACAAGAATTTTTTTAAAACTACAGAAAATGTGGGCCTGGTTTCACCATATGTTGAAGTGAATTATGGAGCTACGACAATAGGGAAGACAGCTGTATAAACAGTGAGGAATGCAATTCAAGGACGATGCAGGGACCTTGAATTTTACACCCCAAATAGATGGAGGATTTAAGAGTTAAATATAGCCTGGCCCACATGGCTCAGCGGTTGAGCATCGACCTAGGATCCAGGAGATCACGGTTCGATTCCCGGTCAGGGCACATGCCCGGGTTGCGGGCTCGATCCCCAGCAGGGGGCGTGCAGGAGGCAGCCGATCAATGACTCATCGTTGATGTTTCTCTCTCTCCCTCTCCCTTCCTCTCTCTGAAATCAATAAAGACATATATGTATTTTTTAAAGTGAGAAGATAATGCCAAGTGTTGGCAAAGGTGTGGAGAAGCTGGCCCTCTCAGGACCCTTGTGAGAGTATAAGCTGCGACTGTCGCAGACGCTGGGTCCACCCTGGAACCAACGGCTTTGCAAAGTTAGTGATCTCCGCTCCTAACTCCACTTCTAAGAACTTATTCTGAGGAAATATTCAAAGATGGGCATACAGGTACAGATAATCTTGATGTTCAACAATAAAGGAACAGATAAATCATGATACAACTATAAGACAGAAAATGATGAAGCTATCAATGTTTTTGAAAATATTTTATAGTATGGAAATGTGCATCACAAAATGTTAAATGGAAAGGATAACAGGGACATGCTAAGTATGGATCAAGTTTGTTTTTAAAGAAAAAGCACATGTTCACATGTGCACAGAAACAAACTGGAAGGAAACGCATCTCCAGGTAACGGACCCATGAACTAACACTGAGGCCATTTTTATTCTTAGAACTTTCTGATTTCCCCTCCCCCAGATTTCTTCAATACATCTGTATTATTCATATAATCAGAAAAGAAAGTTTATATGTAAATAAAAGAAAAACACCAAGATTCCAATAGGAAGAAGGCCAAAGGGTAGAATCAAGTAATTTTCAGGAAGAAAGACTAATAAAAATGTGTTCAATATTCAGTCTCATTAGTTATCAAAGTAGCGAAGTAAAGCAACAGTGCCACTCAGCTGAGCCCATCAACAGCACTGCAGGGCACAGAGTAGACACGGGCTTCACGACCCATAAAGATGGTTTGATTTTCTTTTAAAGTAAAAAGGAAAATTAGGATGACAATAATGAATGAAGCCTAGAATATATGTCTTTTCCCAATGTAGTTGTGAAATAGAACTTTTCCTATTTGTCACGGAGAAAGGGCCCGTGACTGCCATGATGTGGCCCTGGGGACCGCATGAATGCCAGGCCAACTCACAGACACTCGGAAAGAAAGCAATGGAGCAGCAGGTACCCAAGTTGACTGCTGTGTTGTCACCATGCCCTGAACCAAGACCGTCCGGACATCCACTCTGAACAGTGCCTGCGTCCAGGAGACGGGGGTGCAAGGGGTGTTCCTACATGACAGCGCTGCTGATCGGTTTCTTCATAACGGAACAGTATTACTTTGCAAACACACAACCGAAAACATACTGAGAGGATTCCTTAAGCTATTCATTTCCTTTATCTCAAAATTTTCACTTCTAGAAACCTACTCTAAGAAAATGCTAAAGAAGTATAATGCAAAAGATGTCCATGAAGAATGATTTATAATAGTGAAAAACCTGGAAATAACCTTAACATCCAACAAAAGAATATCTAAGAGAATATGCTTCCAACTAGAGTTATGACTCCAAAAACAGTGCAGTCACTTGGGAAAAAGTTCTCTGCAGGTAAGTGGGGAAGAAAGATTAAAATGATATCTACTGTGTTTAAAGTGATGTAAAAATGCATTATGAAAAAAAGCAGAAGTAATGTATCAAAGTGCAAAATGCAGTTTTATTAAGAATTATGGGTGTTTTCTCTCCTTTATTCCACATTTTCTGAAATGTGGTTATTTTGTCTCCATAATTTAAAAAGTATACGAAAAAGCATTTCATAAACTATAGCACTCTATACAAATGTAAAGTATTATCACTGAGAAGGCATCTTGTACTTGCTTAGAACTGAGTAGAAATAACATTAATTCCAGATGAATGCGGTCCTCCTGTTCCTGCAGGGAGCCTGGGGACGGTCTCGGTGGTGGGGCTTCTCCCTCGGGCTTGCACTGATGAGCTGAACTACACGGTGGGTGGGGAGGCCCTGCAGGCAGCGCCAGCTTGAGGTGAAGGTGCGCTCGCAGACACGTCTATCCCAACACTGCACCCATCTTCCCAGGAGGCACTGGGCACCGCCTGTGTGCTCGCAGTCTTCCACCACGGACCAGGTGGCCAGGAGTGAGGCTAGAATGTCAGGACCTGGCTACTGTGATGCTGGTCTGTGCTTCTGTGACGTCTGTGCCGCCTCTAACAAATGACTCTGCAGTAGAGCCACTTAAGTGAGGTGAGTCCAGGAAATCCACATTTTCCCAAACTCCCACCATCCAAGATTATTTTCCCCTCCAGGAATATAATAGTGTTTGCTTGGAGGTAAAACTGTTCATAGTTCTGGTTTTTTAAAAAATTCATATTATGCTAAACATAACAGTTCACAGATGAAATTCTTGATGGGAATTATGCCAGGAGCCTGAGAACACAATGACTGACATACCTTTTTATCTGCAGGAGAGATCTATCCGCCTGGTCAGTGACTTCCAAACTCATCAAAGGAAACAGGACCATGGGATATCCTCAAATGGCCCTCAACTCTACTCTCCTACAGTGTATCCCTTCCCGGGGAGGGGAGGACCACTAATAAGAGGGCGCACCTACACGCCACTGTGCTTTCCCACTTCACCCTGGGGAAGAAGCCAGATGACAAACACACCACGTTAATTTCCAGGTTTGCTGCCCAGAGGGAAGTTCCTGCTGACTGAGGGCTGAACCACACACAGGAGCTTTGCCATATCCAGGGAGTTTATGGGGTCCACACTGCTCACACTCGCATCCAGCAGGCTGCTGGGAACATAGTACGTGCTCAGCAAATGCTTGTTGAACTGGATGGCAAAGGGCTTTTCTTCACTGTGTATTCTCTGGTGCTCAGTGAGGTGGGCGCTCCAGTTGAACATTTCGCCACATTCGTTACATTTAAAGGATTTCTCCCTGGAGTGGATTTTCTGATGTTTAATGAGACAGTGGTTCTGGCTGAACGCTTTGCCACACTGGCTGCATTTATAGGGCTTCTCTCCAGTGTGGATCCGCTGATGCACGATGAGGGAAGAGTGGCAGCTGAAGGCCTTCCAGCACCGACTGCAGTCAAACGGCTTCTCCCCTGTGTGGACCCTCTGGTGCACAATGAGGTAGGAGTGGGAGTTGAAGGCTTTCCCACACTCGTTGCACTTGAAGGGCTTCTCGCCGCTGTGGATCCGCTGGTGCACGACCAGGTAGGAGTGGCAGCTGAAGCCCTTTCCGCAATCGCCGCACTTGAAGGGCTTCTCTCCCGTGTGAATCCTCTGGTGCAGAGTGAGGCGTGAGCGGTTATTGAAGGCCTTCGCACAGTCGCCGCATTTAAATGGCTTGTCTCCGTTGTGGATTTTCTCGTGCACGGTCAGGGACGAGTGGCAAGTGAAGGCCTTCCCGCACTCGTCACACTTGTACGGCTTCTCTCCCGTGTGGATTCTGTGGTGCCGTGTCAGGTGCGTCCTCTGGTTGAAGGCCTTCCCACACTCGCTGCATTTGTAGGGCTTCTCCCCGGTGTGGACCCGGAGGTGCATGTTCAGCAGCGAGCTGCAGCTGAAGGCCTTCTCGCAGGCATTGCACTTGTAGGGCCTCTCGCCGGTGTGGATCCTGTGGTGCACATTCAGTGAAGAGTGGCAGCTGAAGGCTTTCCCACACTCGCCACAGAGGAAGGGCTTCTCCCCGGTGTGGATTCTCTGGTGCTCGATGAGGTTGGTCCTCCAGGTGAAGGCCTTGCCACACTCGTTACACCTGTAGGCCTTCTCCCGTGCGTGCCATCGCTGGTGCAGGGTGAGGGACGAGCTCTGGTGGAAGGCTTTCCCACACTGGCCACACACGAAGAGACCCTCCCCGGCACCAGCACCCTGACGCCTGTTCGCGGGTGGAGGTTTTCCATGTTCACTGGACTTGTAATTGTTTCTCCCTGCGCACATTCTCTGGGGCTGGGTTACAGCCTCCCTGGACTGGAAATTCTCAGTGTGTCCGTCAGGGGACTCTCCCTCTGTAGAAATGACAGTTCCTTTGCTCTGCTGGGCAGAGAGGGTGCACCTGAGGGGCAAAGCCTCCTCAGACGCCTCATGTTCCTGCCAGTGCTCCTCTGTGGAAACCTCCCCACAGCCAGTGGGCGAGCACCTCCAGAGCACAGCCTCGCCTCTCGACAGAGCAGCCACTGGGCCCTCCCAGGCCCACCCATCGCCTGGACCGGGGCTGTGGAAACCAGACCTTGCCAGCCCCTCCACAATCAACTCCTGTGATGGCTCTTCTTTGTAGACGCCCTGCTGCTGACACAAATCCTCCTTCATCTCAGGCCTGGGCTCCCATTCTGGAAGAAGCGGAAATACAATCTTCTGTGAGCAGGCGGAGGCGTGGCACTGGGACTCAGACTTGAGATCCGACCCAGAGGTGCAGGTAAGCAAAGAAAAGAGAGCCGAGACTAACAGAGCGAGGGAGCTCGAAAGCAGAGATGGAGAGGGGCGCATGCAGGGTGAGACAGGCAAACAAGCTGCAAGAAGGCAAGAGGAGAAAGAAACAGGGCAAGGAGCCCCTGAAGGGAATTCCGAAAAGAGCTAGGGGGCCAAGGGCTCATGGATCCCATTCACTTAGGAAGCAACTACTGAGAGACTGCGGCGTGTCAGAACTGGGCCGGTGCTGGCCGGGATAAATACAAGTCCAAAAATAATAATTACATTTAAAATGTCCTGCCCCCTGCCCTAGCCGGTTTGGCTCAGCGGTTAGAGCACCAGCCCATGGACGGAAGGGCCCCAGGTTGGATTCCAGCCGAGGGGATGTGCCTCAGCTGCAGGCTCCATCCCCGGCCCAGTCGAGGGGCATGGGGGAGGCAACCAGTCGATGTGTGTCTCTCATATCACTGTCTCTCTCTCACTCCCTTCTACTTTCTCTGAAAAAGCAATGGAAAAAATATCCTTGGGTGAGGATTGAAAAAAAAGAAATTTATAAAATGTCCCGCCCAGGCCAGGTTGGTTAGAGTGTTGTCTCTGGTTTGATCTCTGGTGAGAACACATACAAGAAGCAACCCATGAATGCATAAATAAGTGGAACAACAAATCAATGTTTCTCTCTCTCTCAAGCTAATAAATAAATTTTTAAAAAGAGACTAATTTACTTCATACTCTATAAAAAAAGAAAAGAAAAAAATTAAAATGTCCCTTGGTCCGAGGGGGGAAAAAACTCCCCACTCCACCTCTCTTTAGCATTTCCTTTAGAACACTTGAACCGGTAGGTGCATTCTCTGTCCCTGAGATGTACACACATCTCTTTAAAAGCTAAGTAAGCCTGTCTGGCGTGGCTCAGTGGTTAATCTATAATCCAGAAGATCGAGGTTAGATTCCCAGTCAGAGCACATGCCCCGGGTTGTGGGGTCGATCCCCAGTAAGGGGCGTGCAGGAGGCAGCTGATCAATGATTCTCTCATCATTGATGTTTCTCTCTCTCCCCCTCTCCCTTCCTCTCTCAAATCAGTAAAGACATATTTAAAAGCTAAATAAGCCTCCGCCAGCTTCACATCCCAGAAGGGATGTCTTCCTTGGAGCTGCCTCTGTGAATTGTCTCTCTGTCTCTCCCCACTCCCGGGCTGACTCTGCTCTTTTCTCAATGAGCAAAGCCCTGACCTCAGTTCCACATAGTCCCACCCCGTCCTGATTAATTTTTCTTGTTGCCATCTGACGGTTGCCTCTAGTTAAATAAATACAGAAATAATTTCTATACATGTAGAAATTACTTCTGTCTCCTGCCAACAGAAGGCAGATGTCTTTGCCCATTTTCCTGCTGTATTCCCAGCACAGTTTCTGGCCCACAGCCAGAGCTCAATGTGTGTATTGAAGGAAGGGAAGAGGGAAGGTTCTAGAAGGGGCACTGAGTAGGCGCAGATGGAGCTAGGGCAGTGGGCTGCGGAAGGAAACCAGCTGTGATGGGAGGGCCACACAGGGTGGTGGGAGGGGTGTTGGGAGCTGGGGTCGCACATCCTTCCACTGCGTCCCCCTCTCACCTGGATGAGCCATTCCAGGGACTCCTCTGGGCACCTGCCATGGTTCTTCACCTCGTTCCAGATGGGAGATCACATCTGGCTTACAGACAGGAGGCCCTGCTTGTGGGAACAAAGCGGCATGGCTCTGTGTGCTGTGGCATTCCAGAACCAGCCAATAGAACAGGACAGTCCCCAGAACAGCATGAGCTGGCACTGAGAGGTATGTGCTATTCCCAAGGATGAGGGTCTCAGAATCAGAACCCAAATTAAGGCATGCATTCTGAGGAATCCATGGATTTGGACCCCACCCCCACCACGGTCTCTCTTGGAAAGCTCCAGGGCAGGCTGGGCTTCCAGGACCCCATCCACCCCCTCCCTCCCATTCTGGCTCGCCTTGTGTCCAGTCACACCTCCAGGCAAGGATGCCAGTGGCACCGCAGAGCTCTGCCACAAGGGCCTGGGCACAGAGACCACACCTCCATACCCTGCTGAGCCCAGCACCAGGGCTGACGCTGAAGGCAGACTCAGTAATACCTACGGCGTGGCAGAATGCCCAGACCGCAGACTCCAAGCCTCGGGGAACCATCTTACCCAGGGCAAGAAGGTTCTGGTAGTTCTCCAGCATCACATCCCGGTATAGGGCCCTCTGAGGAGAGTCCAGCTGGCCCCACTCCTCCTGGGTGAAGTCTATGGCCACATCCTTGAAAGTCACCGATTCCTGGGATGACATGCACGTTCTCAGTCATCCAGGATGGGAGCGATTCCGATTGCATTCATGCTTCCGAGGGAGTTAAGGGTTAGCCTCAGTGACCTTCTCCCAAGCGTAGATGCCATCTGTTTTACCGCACCAGGTGCACACCACAGATGGACCAGGAATCACCATTTAGACCTGGCCTTCTGAACCTGAAGGCCCGACTAACTGGGCAGCCCATGTGCACATGCCGTGATGGACAGAAAGCTGCGGTGGTAAGTGCTGGGTAAGATGCTATGCTTACCAGGGTCAAGAATGTCAAACTTAGAGAAAGTGAAAGAATAGCACAAAAAACCCAGAAACCCTGTTCAAAGCTCACCACTGCACAAGGACCTGACCTTAGGCAGAAAGCCATGATTACACCCTAAGGAAGGAAACCCTGCACTCATCAGCAAGTTCTGTGCCTAAGAGAACAAAGGAACCATTCCATGTCCCTCCTGCCTGCCCTTCATTCCTTCTCCCTGGAACTCCTGCTCCCCTGCCCTCCTCCAGGCCTGAGTCCTGGGCCATCCCACCCCCTCCAATGCTGGTCACTGATTGCAGGATAGCCCCTTCACCCACTTGGTCACTTTAGTTCCAAGTGTCACAAATGCCCCAAATGACTCCACTTGTACTCCTGCTCTCAAATCCTAGGCTCTTCTGCTGTTTGGGGTTCCCCACCCCCTCCAGAACCTCCAGGCTGTCACCCCCAACAGTCTCCACACAATCACAGAGCCATCATCACAACCAATAAATTTAATATTGATACCATATGACCTAAGATACAATCCATTTTCATATTTCTTCAATTGTCCCAAACTGCCTTTGATGGAATTTTTGGATCTGTGATGCATCAAGGGTCATGTATTGCATTTGCTTGTCATGTCTCTTGAGTGTTTTACAGAATTATAGAGCATTCTAACTCATTACAGAAGCTGGGTACATCTCACAATATGTGTTTAACAGCTATTTCTATCTGTCTGTAATCAGACTTCATCTCTTTCAAGTGGGAGATTAACAGAATCACAAAAACCTAAAAAAGTCAATCCTCCAGACCTATTCACTACCCCACAATCTCCTTAAAACCATATCCTTCTAAAGATTATGATGAGTATGGATAGTTTAGGTGGTAAACAAAACCCCAAGTCTGTAAAAGGAGGGATTTGGGCCCTGCTTAGCTGCAGAAGTGGCCCCAGGGCCAATTCCTTACTGAGCCCCCAGATCCTCTAAAACTCCAGGTTTTACATGAAGGACCCATGTCAGGGACCCAGTACAGAGGAAAAGCGCACAGGGACGTACCCCCTACCATCACTCTTACCCCAGCACTGCAACACAGCCCTTCCTTTAGCTGTTCCATACCAGATTCCATGCCAGAAAACTGCCCCAAACAAGGACTAACCCCCACCAACATCACCTGGGTCTTCATGTGGAGATGAGCAAAGTGATCACATGTGACCTACTTGCTGGAGATCCACTAAGACCACTCTTCAGAGCTCCTGGCACAGTGTAGGCAAACAGGTCCTGGGCAACTGAACAACCGGTTGGAATGAATTGGGCTGGAGGGGACACTCATCTTGAGGGCACCCCTGGGGCACCACCTGGAGCTGATCGCACACCCAGAGCTTTCTGAGGACGGGAGAGCAGGCCCCCAGATGGGGTGTCCTTGGATGACTGAAGATCCTGGGCACGGGAAGGAAGTTGCCAACCCTCTTCATAAAAAAACAAACAAACAGATGCTCAGAAAGAAGAAAAGACAGCCACTCACCTCAGACCTGGCTTCCGGGAGACCCTGACCCCATTGAGCCTCTGGATTCTCTTTGAGAGGAAAAGCAGGGTCCTGGGAGGACAGAGCTGGGAAGGAAAAATGAGTAATGGGGGAGCTGTTCAGCCATAGCCCCCAGGTGCACTGACTGAGCTAAAAAATCACTGCACCCCTGGAACCCGGGAGAACCAGGGGAGTCAGGAGCCGCCCCCGCAGATGGGGTGGAGAGCGAGCCCCAATATCTGGCACAATCTGGTACAGCATCAGGGGTTAATTCTGCCACTCAGTGTCAGACACTCCAACTAAAAAGGAAAAACAATGCCATTCCCTTCCTCTCATCAACATGTTGGAGACAGTGGGATCAAATGGTTGTGCACGGTAAAGAGGCAGGAAGCCTGGCTGTGCTGGTGCTGCGGGCAACTAGCCTGACCTCTCTGAGCGTCTCAACTGCAAACCCAGACCCACTGACTGAAAACCAATTGTACCTGTCTCCCGGGGCTTCGGGGCAGGGGTCTCCATGGTGGCCCTTGGCAGCGTCCCCCGGAGGCGTGGGCAGCTCTGCAGCCACCTGGCCCAGAGGAGCGGGTCCTGCTCCTGGGGCTCAGGGACAGCGGCCTGTGGGGGAGCCCCGCGGGGTCGCACACGCACTGCCGGCTGCACCGTCACACCGGCCCCGCGCCTCGCCGAGGTCGGGGCCAGGCAGACTCAGCAGGAGCCCCGCACCCCCGGCTGTGCTCACAGCCCATCGCCGCGCCACTCGCAACCGGTCACACACTCCTGCCCCGACCGCGCGCGGGGCCAGGCAGGCCTGAGATTCAGCCGCCCGGAGCCAACGGGCGCGGAGCGCGGCTGGCAGACAGGCCCCGGGGCGGACGGACAGATGGCCCGACTGGCCGACGGATACGCGAGCGAGCCCACCGGCTTCCCACAAAAGGACAACGGCCACCACAAAGGAGCAGCCTGGCGGCGCCGTGGAAAAGTGCGCCTGCGCGGACAGGACGCAAACTACTGCTCCCCAGAGGCTTTGTACCGAGCAGGCAGTGTACTCCATTTCCCAGAGGGCGTCAGGGCACCAGGGCTGGCTCTTCTGACGTCCGAGACCGGACCGGCGTGTAGCACAGCCTTCTGGGAAATGTAGTTCTGGGCCAGACCCCGCCTCCCCCGCGCGCGCTAAGGTGGTGAGTGGGCCGTCAATGGGTTTTCCAGGGGCCTGTCTAAGGACCCTGCCCCTTCTGGAGAGAGGTACTTGGGGGACCCCCCTGGGGGGAAAGAGAGGGGGAGGAGGAGGTAAAGTTCCAGGTCTTCTCTCAGACCAAGTGACTCTCTCTCTCCCCCCCTTCCTCTCTCTTTCTAAAATCAATAAATACAAATGTAAAAGCCAGGCCATCTGCAGACAGTCCAGACAGCAGAGCCTTCCAGAGTAAACTGACCTGCCCTTTAGGTCACAGGCCTCCCCCTGCCACGCACATCCTCTCAGCCTCTGTCACCTCTGCTGCCTTTATCATCTCCTGGTGCCAGTCTCATCCTGGGATCTGAGAGGCAGAAAAACTGAGGTGAGGCAACAGGAGTTGCCAGAGGTGGGACAGGAAGAACTAACTCAGAACAGAATCTTGAGTAATAGCTCGAGTCAGACCTTCTGGCTTAGTTGGCTGAGGCCCTGCTATATGTCCTGCACTTTGGGGACCCAAAGGGCACAATAGCCTTCCCTTCCTAAGAGTCCAGTGCCCAGGGTCCAGGCCCTAGCCAATCCCACCTCATTCCATTCGCTCACCCTCCAAAGGTCCAGCCAGTCCAGTTTCTGGAGTGAGCACCACAGTTGTCTTATCAGTGGAAGTGGAGTTCTTGGGGTTCCTCGAGGAAATGAATTGCCTGGGTCCCCCATGGGAGGATAGGGTTTTGTGGAAAGCATTACTGATCATGTAAAATTAAAGAGATTCCCCTCCAAGGTCCCATCTGTGCCCCTCCTGGCACTCATAGCCACATCTGCTGGTCTCCCACAGCCACATCTGCTGCTCAGCAAATCTGGAGTCTCTCCCCAGCCCTCTCCCCACACTTCCGGCTTCCTTGTTGACTTCTCCTGGGGATCTTAGGGGTCTCCTTTATTTCACAGAAGAGAAGTAAATTTGAGCTCAGAGAGGGCAGAGCCCACAGGTCACAGCCTGGATCCCACAGGCTGGGGAGGGAATCCAGGGCTTTTTTGTCAGTAGTATTTTAATTACTCAGGGAGGGGGCAGTGGATGGTTAATGAGGCTCAAGGGATCAGCAGAACCAGATGCTGGAGGTCCCAGCAGACCAGGTGAGTCAGCAGGAATGGGGCCACCTGAGGGGTTGACAAAAGGCCAAGTTCTCACCTCCCCTGCACCTTTCAGGCAGACAAGCTGCAATAAACAAATGAGTGAATGAATGAACTAACAAAAAGGGGACCCAGGCCTCTTTACAGTGGCTGGGTCCAGATCTGCCAGCGAACAGGGTCCACAGCAACCGCCCCCCCCCCCCCC